GCATCACTCAGGGTGTTTTGTGCATCGCTCTTGGGAGGTGTCAGTGGCGCATCAGCAGCTTGAGAAGCAGCGTTCTCCAAGGATTCTGCGGCAGTTTTATCTTCCGATGGTACTGATGAGGACTGCTCTTTGTCGGTCTCCGTGGTGCCACCTTGTGGTTGATCAGTAGGCTTGCCACCAGTGGAAGTACTGCTCAGTGGATCCTGTGGGAGACTCTGGCTGTGCGACTCGTCCTGTGACGGAGAATCAGCATCTGAAGGTGAAGCCTCAGGTTCCTTCTGTCGTTCTGTAACAGCCTGCAATGCAGCGTCGATGTCAGTCAGCAATAACTCAGCGCTCTTGGCGGCTTCTCCAGCGCGTTCAGATGCTTGCTTAGCAGCACTTGACGCCGTGTCAGCATGTCCCACTGCAGCCGTTGTGAATTTTGCAGCTTCTGCAGCAGCCGTCTTTAGTTCGTTGGTTTCAGATATCTGTGTTTCGGTACTCTTATCTTTGACAGATTCGTACGCTTTCTTAGCGCTCTTCATGGCCTCGACAGCACCGCCATCCTTCGTCGCAGCTTTTTTTGCCTCTTCAGCACTATTCTGGGCTTGTTTCAGCGCAGACAACACTTCTGGTAGTTTTTTGAATGCTTTCTGTGCGGGCTCTGCTTCTCTGCTGATATCTTCAACCGATTTTTTCGCTGTGATACCAGCCGTCTTCTCCGCGTCCGTTAACAACTCCCCTGCCTTAGTTGTTGCTTTTTCTGTCTCCTTCACTTTATTCCCGATTGAAATAACGAATTCGTGAGACGTCTTAGTCGTGCTCTCTGCGTCCTTCGCCAAGCCGATCACCTCAGCAATTTTCTCCTTCACAATATTACCCCCCTCCTTCACATTCTCATTTAGCTTGGAAGCTGCCAGTGACGCCTTTCCCGCCGCTATCTTGAATTGCTCCGTTGCTTCCTTGATTGCGTCCACCTCTCTTTTGGCCTCATTCACCGCTTCCTTCGCCTTAAGCGCCTTCTCCTTCGCCTTCCTTAGGCTAACAATCATTTGGTCTTTGCCATCATCACCCTCAGCAGTGGCCGCTGCACAGCCACCCATGCAGCACAGCGCGACGGCCACCACAAACAACGCGGGACGCCCCACCGCCGCCATCATCACAGCCCGAGGCACACTGGTCTACAGAGGGGGGGGAGGGACGCACAGCGGGGTACACAAGCACAGCAGGGGAGACCAGCAGCGCACCACACAACTCAACGGACAACTAGAGGAGTAACACATCACTCAAACAAAACATTAGTGGCAGAGCACAATAAACCACATGAAAACAAACCCCCAACAACCCCAAATGTAAAGATGAAAGAACGTGTCGGCTCCGAAACCAATTTTAATAGGTATTTGTGTGCTGTTAAACAGTCGCCTGCTGGTGTCCCTCTGTGCCGTCGGCGGGGTGCAGCGGGAGGCAGTGCGGCCCTCCACACCACGCCGCAGCGCAGCGTACAGACACAGGCGCGGAGGGAAGCAGCGGGCACACGCCCCGAGTGCACTCCGCAACCCATGAGAGGGGCGGACAGCACAGGGGGAGCAGCAGCAGCAGCAATGAAAAGAAAAGAAAAGAGCTGCAGGAACCAAAGGACTTGGCCTGCGGGGTGCAATACACACAAGCGCACACAAAGGCGCAGTTAACGGATGTTTTGCCAAGATGGGAGAAACGCAGTGATGCGTCAAGCAAAGCCCAAGCAAAGGGGGGAAGAGAAGACGCCTTGGCAGACTACACCGAGCACAATAGATATCGCCATGGTATAATCAACGACGCACAGCCCGCAAAGGGGCAGCAATTAAAAAATGTAGGTTTGTGTGTATTATGGGGAGAATAAAGCACCTGCTGAGTTAGTCAACAGGGCTGCACGCAATTATGGGTGGAGCACCACCGCCCAGTGCCCACAGCGCCCACTACAGAGCAAGGTAGGTCAGCGCTCCCAGGAGCATCAGCAGCGGAGGTAGCCGCATCCGCACATCGCTGCTGCCGTCGCCAGTGCCGATGGCGTGACCCGCAGGCGGCTTTGGTGTAGCTGGGAGTTGCGGAGGGTCAGCAGACGCCGGTATAGGGGCGACGGAATCCGTGCTGGTCGCATACTTCTGCACCTCAACATCCCCGCTGCTCGTGGACTCCGCCACAGGGCCTGTCGGCGCTTCCGGGGGTGAAGGGGCTTCGGAAGAGACGGTGGCATCACCGGTGCCGTTGTCCTCTGGTTCTGTTGAACCGACACTAGCGGCGGCTTTCGCCCGCTCCCTTTCCGCGCGTTCCTCCTCTCTTTGCTTTCGCCGCAGGTCTTCTGCCATCTTTTTCGCA